AGAAGTACCAAGGCCTGAAGGAGGAAATAGAGAGGTTGTGGAAAGTCAAGGCCAAAGTGGTCCCAGTGGTGATAGGAGCACTCAGGGCTGTGACTCCTAAGCTGGGAGAGTGGCTCCGCAGACCCCAGGAACAACATCAGAGCTCTCTGTCCTGAAGAGTGCAGTGCTAGGAACAGCTAAGATACTGCAAAGAACCCTCAGACTCCCAGGCCTCTGGCAGAGGACTCGAGATGGAGGAAGACACATACTACCCATAGGGGTGAGAGGGGAATTTTTTTTTATAGCCTTCGGCCACAAAAATGACACCTTCCCCCATTATAAATTCTGTGACAAATCTTGTGGACAATAAACATTTAATAAAGTAACCAAATAATATAATGGAATACCAATGAGTGTTCAGTACATACCGAGAAAGGCTTTATCTGCTGGGATGCTATTTCTGTTGAAAAAAGTAATTTTTCTTTGATTTCTCATAGTAAAGGTTAGTATACAGAAACCATTAGCTTTCACTGTCTTTAGTAAATGCTCTTTGTCTTAGGTAAAACAACATCCTATCTTCATGTACCCCAATCCTTACTAATAATCTCTGCCTTTTTTGAAAACCTGAAACCAGAGTTCCCTATCTGAGATGGTGGGGGGTAGGGGGGCTAGGAGAGCTTCACCTGGATGCTACGGTCATAGTTGATGAGGTCCGGAAAGATCTTCCAAGCTGTTAGCCTTCCCCAAGTCGGTAGGCTCTGTGGGACACCTAGGATTTGTCATCCAAGCCCATTTGGAAGGCACCTGGTTGGAGAAGGCTGGTTTGCATTTTGCATTTATGGAAAGATATTATGGAAGTGCTACTAAGCTAATAAGCATGCACTTGTGTTACATGTACTAATAGTCTATAGGTTTTAGTCCTTTCCTGTCTGAGACTCTAGAAACTAAGCTGTTGGTGGTTGTAGTTATTACAATATTCTGTAAGTACAACATGGTCTAAAAGGATGCTTGCAGAATCAGGACACGGCCAATATTTTCACTTCTCGGTCCCCCTCTGCCCCAGGAATGTTGAAGTCAGTGGGAGTGTTCCTGCTTATCTCAGAATGCTGGGAAGGAAAATCATGCATCAATCACTGCTCCCCAGTCAAGGATGTAAATATCACTATTAAGTCAGGACTGTGATGGAATGGAATTATGAAGACCAGACTCAGGGAGAAAAACATTTTCTTTCATCTCCTGAGGAGCGTGGGAGATACAAGAGG